TGTCCTGCTGAGAGGCTGACTCCTCGGCTATTAAAACTCTTCTACTTAAACTAATTCCTGCCCAGAACCTGCTTTGCAACTGAGTCAGCTTCTGAGTTTTCACAACAGAAACCCAAAAAGATGACAGGCAAGAAGGAAAACTATGCCTCTAGCATACTGCACAGAGTATGACTCCCTGCTGGGCTTAAGAACAGCCATTTCTGGGTATAAAGATGATTTTGCCATCAGTTCTAGAATGGATCTCCATCTGTCCCTCCTGTGCTCAAGCTTACCAGGTAGACTGTAGCCTACATGTGATTATATCCTTTCAAGAGAAGCAGAACAGCAAAAATAAAGCTTGAGAATATGAAGTTTCTTATTTCTTCCTTCAAATTATTTTGCCTCTATACAAGTGTTTGAGAGGAAGAGGCTTTTATGTCCCACTTTGCTCTCCCTGCCTCCCATGGCTTATTCAGAGCACTGCTGGAGGAACTGACATGACAACAAATTTACAGAATACTTGATTCCCATCTTCATTTAAGACATGCATCTTCTCCCTCTCGAGTGTCTAATTTTACATTTGATCTCAGTGTCCAGATTTCATATTATAAGAGTTTGCAACAGGTGACTTGTTCATTACTGCCTTCCCCTAGGAGAGAAAAGCCTTAACACGTAGCACTCCTCAAAACCAATCCCACAGAGGCTCCAAATGTGAAGCTGTTAAAGGTTGCTGCTGACAGAACAAAGCTTCCTGTGACACAACGTTCCCAATGTACAGGTCTGACTGTAACAAGTAGAGGACTTTATCTTAACTTCTCACAGGGAACACACACATGCCCACGCATTGACACAACTGCACTGCAGGGTAATGCATCTGCTAAAAAATGCTCCACCAAGCAGAAAGTAAATATTCTCTCTCATAAAACAGATGAATAGTCTTCCTCATAACAGAAACTATGTCCAACATCACCTGAATTCAAAACAATTATACTGTTGTTCCAAGGTGGTATTTTAGACATATTTACCTGTGAGCTCCCTTTTTATATTAGGAAGATTAGCTGGACATGAGTTGCTGATGTTTAGTCCTGGAGGAGGCATGCTTTGGTTGCCATAAAGGTCAATCAAATTGCCAGACACAGGTAACTGGAAAAGATAAGAAGGAGGATCATTTGGTTTGCTCTTATGAAATGCTTTGTACATAACAATAGAGTTAGGATCTGCTAAGAAATCTGTGCTCTTTTTCCATGTGCAAACAGAATGTGTAATAAGGTCAGCAAAGGTCACTGATAAGCCCAGGTATGAGGAATAAAACACCTACACTGGGAAAATTCTGTCCTCTCTCCTCAGGAATATGCAAACAGAGAATATGGAAAAGATGTAACATGCTGACACTACTGCTCTATTGTTACTCCCTGTTTTTCAGTGAAACTATTACAGTTGTATCCCCATCACTTCTCTTACTCAAACTATCTGAGAGAATCTACAGACATCTCCTGAAGGAAGCTCCCCCTTTTTCCAGGAATATGTGAAAGTAGCTAGCAAGGGGTCACAGGCTTGTGGAAGAACACAGTATTGACCATCAGAGTTTTCATTACATTTAAAAGCTACCTACACAGAAAACATTTAAATTTACTCTAACTTGTTTTTCACCTTTTATAACAAGAACACGCATCAGTAGGAGGAAGATTATTTTTTAGTTTCCTCAATTACTTGTTTATTCTATTACTCTTGTTTAGGTGTGAGGAAGCAAGAAGATTTATGCAGAAATAGGACAGTGCTCCAACAAGACTTATCAAAGCTGTCCCTTTAAATTGAAATCTATTTAAAGTAGTTTACATTTATCCTGGAATGTTTATTTTACCCATCTCTTTTTTTGTTTTCAAACTAGGTTTTGAAAAGACAGGTATAAAATATTTTGATACCTTATCTGAGTGGCAATACTTCTTATCATCCTTGCTGCAAAGAAAATCAATCCCTCCAAGACACTGATCCTGCAGAGATTAGAGTATTAACTTTACACCCATGTAAATAATACTGTTGAATACAATGGGGTGAGTCACAGCCTGAACAATTAAACTCCTACTGATGGTCCTTGCCAGACTGAGACCTAAGAAAATTTCCCTGTCATCTGGAGCTATGGTAAGAAGCAAAACTGGTAAGCATCCATTGAAGTACCACCAGTTAGAAGCCATGCTGGTACTTGTCTTGAACAGTGGCCAACAACAAAACCAAAGTCTCTTGACTCAGTCAATCAATCAATGTGACAGAGGAAAAATGCAAATGAATTCTCAGCAAGATTCAGCCTTGCAATTCCTCACCCTCCCCTTGGCTCTTGAAAGTAAAATTAAGAAAAAATACACCTATAATAAAGCTATGTCACACTGTCTATCACAACCTACATAGTCCCAGTTGTGATCTGCTTGCATTAATGGCAGGGTGACCACTCAGTGTCACTGCTCTACAAGGCTGACCCTTGGATCTTTTGGCCCCTCAAATGCATCCCTGACACGGGCACAGCAAGAGCGTCACACACCCTTCTGACTTGGATGTGCTCTTCCTATTCATGCTCCTCAGCATAGGGAGAGCACAAAGACCTTGTTTGTAGCCCAGGGACTTGAAGTTCAAAAGCAGACATGTGAAATCTAATTAGGAATTTCAGGGAATTAAAAAAAAAGATTCCCCCCCCCGCCCCAAAATCTAGAAACTAGCATCTCAAAGCTAGGTTATAATGAAACATGGAGACCAGTTAGTCATCAAGCTGCTTTCCTTTCTGCAACATGGACCCTGCTTGCTACAAGTTTGTGATTACTTTTCTTCATCATTTTTTCAAAGGTGTCAATGTTGTGCCAGATGCCCCTGTAAATAAACAAGCCCTGTGTAAGCAATCCCCACAAAGGAGAGTAACACAGGCAGCAGGAGCTGCTGAGCGTGCAGAGTGAAGCCCTGTATGTGAAGTCCAGCAGAAGCTGCAAGCCCCAGAGGACCCCAACCAAGAGCTGTGCAACAACCAAAGCACAAGCCCTGCTGAAGCAGCGTTTGCTAAATAAAGGAAGATGAAGGGAGGAATCTGCACAGCTGCTGAAATGTTGCAGGTTTGCATGTAATCCAGGAAACTGGCGTTGGAGGTTGATGTCAACAGTCTCAGTTGAAATCAGTGATCCATACACAGAGAGACTGATTAACTTCTCTCTGTGACTGCTTTTCCCAGCAAGCTCAGCTACACAGGCCAAAGCTTATTATAGCTTTTTACTAGGAGTGTGACTACACGTATGGTCCACACTCAGTCTGAGCCTCTGAGCAGCTCCTCTCCAGGATGGCAGCAAGTCTGATCTTTGGGACTCATGTTACACAATTCCTTTCAAATGAAAAATATGAAGTGCATACAGCACTTCAGCTCTTCTCACAGGGCTAAAACACCTGCAGTTAAAGAGAAGTTAAAATTGAGGCACATCTTATATTTGAGGCCCCATTTGAGGCCCTAGAGGAATTAAATGAGTTGATCTGTAAGGTGAGACCAATAATCATTAGTGCAGAGTTTAGGGAAGTGGAAAGGGAAGAGGACTTCTACACTGAGGGGATTGGTTTGAGATGGACAGGTCAGTAGTGCTCTGAGAACACAACAGCAGCCACTGAGCTGAAATGGGGGGAAAAAACCCAGAATTGCCTTATAATGAACACAACAAAACAATGCCCAGGCATTTACTTCAAATGTTTCCTACTGGAAAAAAAGAAAAATCAGTGAGACTTCAGCTGTGTGATCAATAAGGCTGGTTATAAGGGACTGGTGCACCCTGGCATGGATTCTGTTCCCCAGCTCAAGCAGCCTACAATGTCGTGTGGGGGTTGTTCCCTTACCTACAGGCACAGCTCAGCAACAGTCCCTGAAATAAGACTTGTGCTTCCTTGTGGAAGTTAAGCTCCAGAAGTAGAGACATCTAGAAGTGGAGCTGCACGTACTCACACAGCTTTGTGTCAGACTCTTGCTAGAACTGGTCAGTTGGATGAACTAGTTGTCAGCTTGGCATACCAGAGTGCTTTCCACAAGACCTAGAAGTTCAATTACTAGGTCATATCTACACAGAAAACCCTCTCACCAAACTAGTGAACAATTTGTGCCACCTTTCAGCACAGAAGCAAAGCCAGTTAACTTGTGACCCAACACCAAAGTTTACAAACACTTCCACAAGGAGTTGCTTGCAATGAGCCCTTTTCAACTAGAAGGTACTTGGAAACTTCCCTTAGCTTTTTCTACACAGAAATCTCAGATTTTGCTTATCAATTAAGTACTGTTACCAAATGTAACAGACTGGTCCTTTTGTTCTTTGTTGGTTCTGGAACAATAGCAGCCTTTGTCAGCCTCAGCACAGCTATTTATAGGTTGCATCTCTTTAGACACCATTTCCTCTCTTGATTTCTTCCACCACTATTTGGCTCAGTCTACAGACATTAATTCCTTCTTAGTCAAATGTTGTGTGTTTTCATTGCTTCCTAAAACTAATTTTTTTTTCCCTAACCAATCATTAGGAAACATGGTTCAACTTCAGGATTTGCACCAGGTTAATTCAGATACTGCTATCACAGAAACACAGAATGGTGGGGGGGGTAGAAGGGATATCTGGAGATAATATCATCTAACCCTCCTGCTCCAGCAGGTCACCCAGAGCAGGGTGCCCAGGATCACATCCAGGTGGGTTTGGAATCTCTCCAGAGAAGCAGACTCCACAACCTCCCTGGGGACAGCCTGTTCAGGGCTCTGGCACCCTCAAAGTAAAGAGGCTTTTCCTCAGGAAATTCAACCTAAACATGTGTTCCTGTTTGTGCCCACTGCTTCTTGCCTCCAGCAATTTAAATGTATTTCTAAAGTCTTAATTTTACTATTTCATATCCTTATTTCACAGACTTCACCATACCCAACGGGCAATTGCTGAAATTTCACAGCAAATGTAGATCAGGCAGTCTTTACAAGGCTTGTTGTCACTCAGCAAGCAGGAGGAATGTAGACTACCCTAAATATTGACTACATGGATCCTTGCACCAAAAGAGTGCAAAGTCCCATTATGCCCTTGCCTGGAAGCAAAAAGCCACTGCTGGGGTCCCTGTGAAGTGAGAGAGCAAATAAAGCACAAAGAAATTCAAGTTCTGCCTGATTTAACAGGTCCAAATCCAATGGAATGACAGAGAGAGGAAGCCAGAAGAACCTGATCCCTCAATTAGGAAAAAAAAGATTGTAATTATGTTGAAAACTATATTTTCCACATGTTTTTAGATTTTCCTTTCAAATTCCAGGACAAATGCACTTTTCAAGTCATCCTAGATTAAAGGAAAATTCATTCTTTCCGGGAGGCCTTGGCAGTTCTGTCTCCATCTCCTCCAAGGGCAAAGGGATGCTGGTGGGCAGTTCCCTGCAGCACACACCACATCTCCAAGAGGACTGTGGGAATCCGTGGGAGCATAGGCCTAGGTTAGCATGACATCAGATGATTTCTGTCAGCAAATGTAAACCTGTGCTACAAAATTGATGCTGTGTGGTAAGCTGTAAATTTTGGCACTAGATAAAAAAGAAAGAGACGCCAGCCCTGGCAGACATCTACTCAACCAGATCTAACAGCACTTAAGCCTAAGGCAAAAAATTCACTGGAGCTACCCTCCACAAAAGATCAAAATAAGATTATGCCAGCAGCACGATTACATTAATGCTCACAGCAATGTGAACCAGCAAACAGGAACAGCAACCCAGAGGGAACCTGCACCTCCCCTCACTCCCCAACTCCTGCACTTGTGTGTTCTCGTCTCTTGTCACAGGCTTCCTACATCCCCTTCCCCACTTTAATTCTTAAGCTTCTTCATTCCTTCCCCTATTGCTTGTTTTGGAGGTTGGTTTTTAAGTTGTTGGGGTTTTTTACCTCCTCCTACATTTCATAACATCTTTGCTGTTGTCTGGCTAGGGAGTCCCTTCATTTGAAACCAGGATAAGCTGAAGCTCTGGTGTTAGAACTAACAGTGCCACCAGAGCTCTCTGGACAGGGGTGCAAACATGCCTACACATGGTGTACAGTTCCTTACTTGAACATGACAAGAACATACAGGAACCTGAGGTGCTGGAGGCTCCTTCTAGGCTTTCTGAAGCCAAGTAAAATGTCCATGGTGATCCTCAGTATTGACGGGCATGAGCTCTCTCCTGTTGGCCCAGTTCACTCCTCTGTTAAAGTCCTCTCACAGACTAACTTGACTTTGAAATAAGAAAAGCAAAACTGTCCTGAGTATTCCCTCAACCTGACTCCAGACTGGGTTTTTAAATTCATGTTTTTCATTGTAAATGTATACATTAAGTTCTTTAATAAAGGAAAGCTAATTACACTCTAAGGGACAATAAAATAACTACTTAATTGCTTGGAAAAGCCATGCTACAGGTTCATGTTCTTTCAGAGAAGGCCAATGAGACTTAACAGGAGAAGCAGAAGGAAAGGACCATTGTACCGTATTTGCCATTTGCAGGGCTGGGTCCATCAGGCCAAGGATTTCTTCATTGTAACTTGACTCCAGACTAATTATGTCATCGATCACATCATCCATCTGCAGCAGAAAAGGTGGACAAAGAAACACATCATGGTTATGGAGACCACTAGCATACAGTGGCCTGACAAAGCCCTTCAGCCACACGCCAGCTCTCTGCAGCACAGGCCCAAGCAGAGGTGGTGCCCGTGCAGTTCTGAAATGCTCCAAATTCTGTCCCTCAGCCACGGCTTCTGCTGTCCACCCAGGTCATGACAAAGCTGAGGCTCTGTGGTCTAACTCACTCCACCCACCAGCAGTTACCCTGCACTAACTGCTCACACACATGCTGCTCCTCCAGCTGCCCGTGGAACGAGCTACACTAAGGATGTGCATCCCTCTCCCTCTCTCCCCATTCTTCCTCTCCTTCTTTCCTCTAGCTGTGGAATCAAAACCTGCATAGAGATGGAAATACCTGAGCTCCCAAAACCTGCAGGGGAAGGAGAAGGAACAAAGGCTTGCTGCTGGGAGACAAACTGCCTGCCCTCAACAACAGAATTCCTGGTATCCTTGTCCCTCATACACCCTTCCAGGAAGCACCACCCAAGAGGAGCTGAGAGGATTTTAGGTGGTGTAAGCCATCTTCTTTCTGGGGCTGGGCTGGAATGTGCCTCCATAAGCTCCTGCACGGTCAGGAGAAACAAAGCTCTCCAAAGCACCCACGCAGGTGCTCCCAACTGTCCTACAGGATTGACTATATCCTTTTTGATCACTATAAACAGGAGCTTAAATGATAGTCATCTACAAAATCAAGGCATAAAGTTGATGATAGAAACAGTAGTACATGGGGTTTTTGTATCAGCTCAAGAAAGTGTGATCAGAATGAATTAGACTGGAAGAGAGGGCAAGAGAGGAACTAACAGCTACAGCCCATATGTGAAATCTTGTTACTAGAAATAAAAAACCTCTCAGTTAAAAAAAAAAATTAAAGGAACAAAATAAAAGGATGACTACTGAGGATGATTTACCACAGATGGATTGAAGCCTTCTCATCTCATTTTTTTAAATGCAAGTGTGATCTGCATAGAAATGTAGTCTTAGAAACTATCAGAAGGACACATGCATGCAAGTCTTCAAAGAACTGCATTAGAGATTTCCTCTTGAAGTGAGACCTTCCAGCATGGTTGATATGTTCTCCTGCAGTATTGTGACAGTGCTAGAAAAGTACTAAACCTCTCTGAATGCCTTAATGAGCTTTTGACATCAATGCTAACAAAGCTGTTGTTCTGTTCCTTAAATATATCTTGTATTCAGCCTTTCAGACACTATGGGGCAAGTTTATTCTTCAACATAAACTCAAAGAAACATGCTCACTAGAGAGGGGACCTGTGCTCCACCTCCTGTGTCATCCAGTACCTGCATGCATGATGCTCGTGAGTGTGTATTCAGAGCCGGGCACTCACTCTCAACCCTGCTTTGCTCTTCAAATTTATAAAATCCCTGCAGAAATAAAAAGGAAAAAAAAAAAGAAAAAAAAAAAAAGAGGCAGAGTCTCAGTCCCAAAAGGGGCACGATTGGAACAGTGTCATGCACACATGGGCCTGATGACACAGCAAAGTGAAGCTGGAAGTATCTTGAGGGGAAAAAACTAAAAAGATTTGGGTACAATTTGGAGGATAGGATGGAGCTGCTCGATTTTAGTTTCTTTGGAAGCTATGGAGCACAAGTAATTTACCCTGCATGTGCAAAATATGTTCTGTAATAACTGTTTCTCAAAGTTGTGTAACATTTGAGTGACTCTCACAGAGTGCATCTGTATCAAAACTCTGGCCCAAGAGCTTGAGGGGGGAGGACGAAGGGACATGAGGAGCTCTACAATTGTCTCCCATTTGTCAAGTTACAAAATCACTGGTGTTGATTCTTACACTTGCTGACATCTTACAAATCATCTTCCTTCAGCACCTGAGCACACATGTCACATCCAACTAAGTTTTTGCCAGCAAAGATTAAGACAAGGTTGCAGAGGACTTCTAGGCATAGGCTAGTGAAGTCTTACACTTGCAGCAGTGACCTCATCCTGAAACAGCAATCAGTAATGTTTTTTGGGTATATTAGCTGGGATAATCTGGCCTTCCCGTTAAGCAACAGACATGCTCAAATTTTACTGTAAATCTAAAATATTTCAAAAAGCTTTGTGTTTTTCAGTTATTTTTGCTATGTTCTTTGCTCTTTCTACACTTAACGAGCCATAAATAACATTATTCCAGAAAGCAACAGCTTACAAAACTTCTTTGTGTTCTCCAAAGGTCAGTTATTCACTGCATGCATGAAGCAAGGGGGGGGAGGGGGAAGTAATTTTAATAAGCATAAACTAGCTAAAATAGTTCAAAAAAGAGGAAGTTAGAGAGACAAAGGGTTTTTTTACCAAAACATTCTATGCAAATATACATTCATCAGGCAGACACGGAGCAAACAGCTGAGAAAAGACAAAAGTAAGCTCTTAACAGTAAGTAACTAGAGTTCCAAGCAGAAAGCAAGCAGGCTGCACACCCGTTTCGGTGGGGCACGGGCAGGGTGGGAGCAGATTACCTCCTTCTCGCAGTTGGAGTTGAGGGTGAGCATTGCCATCGGGCTGTTGGGTGCACTGCTTCCAGTTCCAGGCGGCATGACATGGTCACCGGGCTGGTTTGGACATGGCAAGCTCAGGGCTTGGTTGGCATGTTTGTTTGCTAGAGTGGTAGAGAGGTACTGCTTTACCTGCTGCCGCTGGGCTTGCTGAATGTGGTACTTGGTTGGATTCTCAAGGTGAGTCTGCACCTGTGTGACACAAGTTGAGAAGTGTTTTAGTATTTTACATCAGCAGTGCACGTGCTGTCCATTTGAGCTGTATGTTGGGGTGGATAGACCAGCTAAGCTCTCAACCCAAAGTACAAACCTGGGCAGCTCTGAGGAAGTCGACAGCGCATCGCTAACTCACGTTCGGTGAAGGAAATCAGTTCATGAACTTGTGTTTCAATAACTGACTTATTAACTGGAAACCAAGAAGTTCCCCTTATTTTTCTACCACAAGGTTTCCTAATGAAGACCAACAGTCAGGTTTTCCAGTTTATACAGATACCCCAGAACAGAGAGTTCCGTGTTCAGACCTTCAGCTGTGCGACATTCAGTTTTCACTAAAACAGGGAAAAACAAGTTGTACTGCAGGACTCAGCTTATTTTTTAGTAGTCAACAATTAAAACCATGTAGTTTGGATTACTCTTCTTTATCAGATGTCAAGTAACAGGGAGATCAAAAGTTTTGTTGGTTTTTTAGGTTTTGGTTGTTTCAGTTTGTTGCTGGCTTTTAAAAATTTTTTTAAAGTAACATATTGGTTAAGAAAAAAAGGAATCCACCATTTTTTTGCCTACAAATTATTTCCATCTCAGATGTACGGCCTCAACGATACACAAATAAGACAGCCTGTTTATAAACACATTATGCAAATAAGATGCAAGAGAAGAAGTGTTTCAGTTCAGATCAATCACTGTCCTCAGCAACAGCTATTTTTGTATTTAAGATAAGCTTTTTGGTACTTAGAATGTTTTGAAACACAAAATAAGCAAACCCTCATACTAATCTACTCTTGTGCATCCTAAATAAGAAAGTAGAAAGGCAATTTTTTTTTCCATACAAAATTTTCACCACATCCTGCAATCTCTGTCACCTTTCCTTGACCATTAATGTTTTTATCAGAAGGTAGAAAAGAAATCAGAAGGTAGAAAACTGAAATATAATAATAATAATGATATTACAAGTTTTTTTTGTTTTAAAATAGTTCCATTAAAGTGACTTTTGCTGTTACAAGTGACCCCCACTTATTTTTCTGGGTGAAATTAAATAAAGCATACTAGATACCAGAGGCAAAGGATTTCCTGCTCGCTGTAAGCCTCCTCAGCAGCAAGTTTTAAAATAAATCTGCAATAACAACTCACCTGATAATGATTATACTCGAGCATTTCCAGCATACTACTAATAGGTTGAGAGAGAAGCGGCTGCAATGTCCTCTGCTCTGTGCTACTCCAGCTTGAGGTTTTCACATATGGAAGCACCATAAACAAGCTACCACATAAGTAACTAGAATCCCACTGCTCAGACTTATAGTAACCTCCGCCAATTAGCCACGCATGTAGAGAAGCAACAGTTCACACAGGGGCTCTTCTTGAAAGCTAAGCAAGTTCAGCCCCAAGTATTGGCATTATTTTTTTTTCCCCTGGCTTTGACATCATGCTTGTTCATAAACATAAAAGGACCTTTTAAGTGATGGGCTATCAAAGTCAGATTGACAGTTTGCTCAAGGCTAATTCGCTATTCATCTTTCGTTCCAGTCTTACTGATACAGACAACGGTATTTTTCTTTAGGAGTAAGGTTAAAAGATGTTAAGTGCAGAGTAAGAAGTAACTGAACCAATGCTCTACGAGTCCAACACATACCCCCTGGCAGTGGGGTGCACTGGATAAACCCACGGGGCTACACAGTCCTATCTTCAGCTTCTGGGCACAATAGCCCACCACCATGCCCCATGCAGCTGCTAGTCCACCCAGGACCTGCAGCTGAACTCAATGGATTTGAAAAAGCTCTACCACATCCTCAGCCTCCCTGGTGCTTCAGAGCCCATTAATTCTGTCTCAGTCCACAGCTGGAAGAAGTTTTCCAGTTCAGGAATGGCTGACAACGGGCTAAAGCATGACCCAAATACACTTATCAGCACTTGTACACAGTCACAGTACTGTGACCAGTCCCCACACCTTCCAAAACTTACTTTTTCTCTCCATCTCAAGCACAGGCATCAAAAGGCACACTCAACCTGCACTATTTTCCAAAGGCTCTGCTGCTCAGGGAAGCACACTTCAGATAACGTTTCCAGAGAGTTTAATCTGATTTGTTGCACTGAATCGCAGGACAACACAACGCAGAAGTCTCCTGTGATAAGTCCAGCACTTGCTTTGTCAGTCCCAAACTGCACTACCAATTCTCTTATCACCAGTGCTAAGAGTTACGCTACCCAGATAAATGTATTTTTCACTTAAATTCTCGTTTTCTGAGTAGATAAAGTTATCAGTAACGAGTTATTTTCGTAACACTTATCTTTGAGTATGTTATTTTAAAAACAAGCCCTACTTCTCGGGCAGAGTTTGCACATTCCTGTTCCTCCACAGGCATCTGATACCATGGCTGTCCTCCTTGGACCGTGCCAGGGATGGAGCATCTCCACCTCCAGCCCACCCTCCATGCTCCCAGGAGGGAGACCAGCGAAATTCCAACATCCACACGTCAACTCTGCATCATCAAATATTATACAATTTATAGTATCTACTAATACACTGAACTGACCCCACTACATGTCAACTTGTCAAACACACACTGCCTAAACAACATCAGACTTTTGTTGACAGAACACATACTTATTTCACAAGAACATACCTTCCCCAAGATGTTGTTGAATTATCCTACCTTAGAATAGTATACATTATATTGCTATTCCATAATTGCTCCCACCCCCCTTTTTTTTCATTATTGGGGTTTTTTTTGGGTCTTGGGGTTTTGTTTTGTTTTTAAATGGACTGTGCTGCCCTCTGTATGTGGTCCTGACACACCACTCAGTCACTTTGGCTCACAGAAAAAAGTATCTCCTTCTGGAAGTATTCTAAACAGAGGTATCCAGTAGATCACATTTTCAAGTAGAGTTAATTCTTGCCACACACGGGCAACAAGTGACTCTGAGGAAATTCATTTCTTGTCAGGTGTCTGGGCTTCAACTTGGCAGCTGCTGAGAAGATGCTCTACTGCCTTTACAGAAAAAAACCACCAGAACCACAGTCATTACACATTAGATACATATGTACAGTTCTCCAAGGACCTGTCACCTTCTCACACAAGTCCAACAGTGAACCAAAGCACACAGAACTGCCTTTTCTGTCATTAAATTGCTCCAAAGTGATGCAAAAGAGAGATTTGGGGACTAAGCAGTTCCTTCTAATCCACAGCTGGTCAAACCTACTTTCACATTTGAATACAAGAACATACAATTATTCTCCAGATGGAGGAAACTGGGACATAACTATTCCCAGTCTCCACGTCAGTGCTACAAGGACAGGAGCTCCCACAGGATGGAGAAGGTTTCACACACATCCCTTCTTGGACAGATGTACCTGTTTCAACTGCCCTCACTCTGGCCAAGTGTGAGGCTTGACAGGCTATAGAGAAAGCAATCTGGTGGGGACTACCTTTAAGAACTCAGTGGGTTTTGCTGAGACTACCTCTTTGTCCTTTCCTACAGTCTCTACACCAAAGAGAGCCCTAGTGTGCCTACTTGGGCAAATGTCCCACAATATACCAGTGATGGTCACCCTATAGACAAGCCCCAAAGCAATCTTGCTTTATTTTTGTCAAAGTGTCTCACAACCAAAGAGCTGTGAAACAAACCCTAAACCAAAATTCCACTACCCAAAACTGAAATCATGAATAAAGGCTTTGACTTAAGATCTAATTTTGGTCCTCAGCCCCTTCTTGACTTCAGGGTGAAGAATAGTTCCTGTTGTCCTTCCAAATTCATAAGACATGCAGTGCATGAAGACAATAAGTTATTGGTTTGGGTACACTTCCTATGAAATGTGTCTGAATGGGGACATGCAAGAGAAACAGAACAAGCTGAAACTGAATCCTCTGGATAATCCAACCAGCTATCTCCAAGAATCTCAACCAAAGCTTTGCTGTAACATTACTAAATCGAGTAGAACACTTTTTTGGACATTTTAGTACTGGCAAGTAAGAGTAATGGAAAGAAGTAACAGAATTATCATCTGCAGAAATTTGGCAATTATTTAAGATAAGTTGATAAAATGAGCAAAATTTATCACTCCATAGTAACAGAAGAATTTGGTTACAAGGAACTAATATCAAGGATGATAAAGGATGGCCCAAATCAAAGATGGCCAAGTGGCAACCTACAGCCTGGATTCAACCCAGAAACTCCTGGATCAAGGGTCTACTTTCAGTTTGTGTTCAGGTGCATTTTTAATTTGCACTATTATGAAGGTACTGCTTCCATGGCTAGCCCAACAACACTGCCTTAGAAGTAGAGTCCCAGAACTGTTTTCATGCTAGAACAGCCTCTGATAGCAGCTCAGCAGCACCTCCATGATGAGGTCTCCACGGAGTGGCTCCATGCACTCTCACTGCACCAGGTACTCCTGCACTATGAATCCCACAGCTCAGAGATTCAAGCTCCATCCATTTTTGCCATACTGTCACTGAGCTAAGTATGTTTTTGCTGGAGCTGAAGCACCAAGAGAAGCAGCAGAAAGATATCAGGTTGACGGCATCCCTACCTAGCCTAGCTTAGGCCCTACAAGGCTGATCTGGGCTGGAGAAGTTCTGGGTGGAGCCACATTGATTACTCAGCACTTGTCCCTTGCTCTTTGGAGTTATCTCAAGCAGGGGAAAGGCTTTCTCATGCCCTCACTCCTCTCAACATCTGACTGCTAATTCCAGCACTTATATCCAGTTCAAGCAGTTGAGGAGGTGAAAACCCGTTCCTGAGATGCTGCCTATTTTCCTCCACACCACAGAAAAAACAGTAACAACCCATACACCTAGGGCAGATTTTTCCCAGACCTTTGGTCTAGTCAGTCATTTCACCCATGCCTTTCACTAGCTTCAGCCATACACACCGTATCAGTGGGAACTTTAGGTGTACTTCAACTACATTCTTGAAAGTCCTTGTATGCTCAGACTTCATTAATAACTTGCTAACTATAGTAAGAACTTGAAACAGGG